AAGTTTCAGCACAACTTTACAACAGTACTTAAATGTAAGCTTTGTAAACCATTTTATAGTTCTTAATTAATTCTGATAGTAAACAGATCATGTTTGGAAAAATGATTTGTAAAGAGGGAATATCACGTCTGTTTCTAATGCAATATATAATGTCCTGAAACATGTAGCCCGTGCCCACTACAATAGATAACATCTTCAATATGCACCTACACAACTATGTATATCGCAATATATATCATGTAATTTAATCCCCTTTACTTGAGCTAATTTTTTAACGCTGAAAGGTTAGGAGTACCGTTGATGCCGCAACGGTTGGCAGTACTTTTAGTGCTCACTGGAGTCACAATTTCCATCACGACTCGAGGAATTATGCCAGAATGTTGTTAGTTTAGTTAGTGGGGGGGCTAATACTGCTACTTCGGAAATTTAGGTGGCCATACACGTACATAAATAACATAAGAAATGATGCAGCAAAGGCGAGACGTCATGTTCTAACGAATTCGCTTTTGTCTAATATCTGATGCCGTACTGGGGAGGGGGGTGAAGCATAGAAGGAAGAATTGGGATGCTTACATTCGTCATATATACCGCTCACACCTAAACTAGATATATGAAGTGCAACTGGTTAACCTTATTCACCTGTACTTCATACTTATGAGGTTTATGCCCGGTTTTGGCCGGATTGGAAACATTTGGGAACCTTTGACGGGCTTTTCGACAGGGTGTCGACGCAGGTTTTTAAAAACACGTTTCCCTGAGTACGGAAGGGTGTTCGACTCCTGCCTAAGCAGGGCGTTTTCTAGATCCCGCGTTATCTTAAAACGTCTGGTCAATGGTTATAGAGATACTGGCACGATAACAACCATAATCCAATATGACAAATCTGAAGATTGAAGTGTATATGAAATGTTCTGTATGTTGTGACCTTATTTCATTGTTGGCAGGAATCAGAACAAGACACGAATCGCGTGGCAGGATCAAGATTGTATTTGTCGTTGGCAAGAGCCTTGAGGTGACAGTCGGACTTGCTCAGTTTCTCTCCCAATTTTGAGGGAGAGCACTCGGGGGGGGTGGGTACGGAGTTAACACCTCTTCCATACCCCAACCTCTAGGGGGTTTCGGTAGCCATATATTTGTAGCCCCATGCTGCAAAGACCACTTATACATTAAACCATCCTCCTCTTCGAATCGAAATGGGCCTCGGTACAGCAATAGATTCCTAACCACTATACTGTCTGTGCGGCCGCATGAAACGTATCCGAAACTACTATCCAAAGTGCCTTTGACTTCATACCAGGCCATAAAACAGCTCTTATTATTGCCACAAGAGCATGCTGAAAATACTGATTTTTTCATCTTTGGTATCTGCAAATTACCTGGAATTTTAATCACTGCTTTCCTTCATAATGTAGCAATTGTAACGGTTACAAATTTATATATGAAGTCTAAGGTAAGAAAATTTCTTAATGATTAAATAAATAATGCTGCCATTACACTATATTCCATTTTAAAAAATATGTACTAAACGATATTTTAATAATGAGATTATTATTATTTCTCTCTTAACGAGTATTTTTCCCCTGAAAAAGTTTACAGAAAGTATATTCTAGAAGAAATAGTTATATTTTAGTAAAGTTAATATTTATGTAATGTAAATTAGTAGTGTAATTAATAAGAATCTTTAAAGTAAAAATAAAATAATAAGAAACATGAACATTATAAAATAGAAGTATTAAATAGTATAACTTTCAAGTGAAATTATTGCGAATAATAAGCATTTTTTTTTCTTTTTCAGGTACAATTATTGAAAGATGCCTTAAAAGTAAGATTTAGAGCTTTTCTCTATTTTTTCTTTTTGAATCTTACGTAATTTTTTCTAATTCTGTTATACATCATAAAAGCATTATCCCAAATGCAGCAATATTAGACTTCTATTTATTTATCAAGATGCTGACAAAAGTTAAACGTTATACAATGTCTTCATATAATATGTTTAACCAATTTAACCAGTTTAACCAGTTTAGATATCTGAGTATTTAGCATTAAAATACTATGCTAGATTTGACTGAGAATGTTTAATGTAACTTTATGCTCATCCTAAGTCTAAAATGATCTGAAATATAGTGGCTTTATAGATGTAATCATACTTTACCGTATACCATGTAATCATACTTTTACGTTTTACATAATATTCACTGATCCATACTATTTTTTATTCGTTCTCATGCGAAGTTCTTTCCTTTTTTGTTTCAGGTTTTATGTCATGCTATTGCAAATTACACTGGTGTGCAAAAATTAAGGACGAGACGGTTTTTTCAATATAACTTTGTACAAAAGCTTTCCAAATCAACACATTTAATACCGTAAGATACCCAATACGTAAGGACATGAGTAATGTAAGCAACACTTACTGAAAGAAATCAGAGGGATAAAAGAGCTTTTGAAAAAGTAGCATGGAGCGCAATGCGACTGAAGGCCGAAACATCTGTGTGGGTGTCCAGCAAGAAACATCCGGTCTTTAAATAGGGGATATGTCTCCCCTGACTGCTAGACAGGTTTCACAGCGTCTGCCCGTGCTGAGATTGAGGGTGTCAATGAGTTGTGAGGCATTGCTGCCATTCGTCTTGCAGCGCTATCGAAGCTCCGGAATCGTATGGGGTAAGGACGAGCTGCCAAGCGTCTGCCTAGAAATCCATTCATTGCTCGATGGGATTGAGATCCGAAGATCGTGCCGGCCAATCCATACGTTGAATATCCTCACTCTCTAAGAGCTGTTCGGCAGCTACTGTGCGATGACATGGTGCATTGTCGTCCATGAAAAGGAACTGCGGACCCATAGCGCCTCTAAAAAGACGCACATCTAGAAGAAGAATCTCGTTACAATAACGGGTCCCGTTGACTGAACCTGCGTCGAAGATGTGAAGGTCTTTACGTCTACCAAGCCTGATGCCTCCCCAAACGAGAACACCGCCACCTCCATACCTGTCCCTTTCAATGATGTTCGATGGATGATTGCGGCTTCTCCGCTCTCTCCAGATGAGTATGCGATGAGAATCGCTACTCAGACTGAATCTGCTCTCATCTGTAAAACGTACTCGTCCCCATTCATTGTCTCTCCAATTCCGGTGTTCGCGGCACCACAGAGAACACGCCTTCTCCGATGGGCAGGCGTTAGAGGTACACACCGTAAAGGGCATCGTGCAAAGAGACCACCACCGTGCAGTCTTCTGGCCACGGTAAAACGCGATATCGGTCGTCCAGTTGCCTGTGTCGTGTGTCTAGCGATTTCTCCCGCTGTTTGCCGCCTGTTTCTTCTGGCCTGTAAGGCAATATACCGGTCATCTGCGGGTGTGGTTCCTCGTGGACGACCACTACTAAACCCTCGGATAGCTGTTCCTGTAGTTTGAAATTGTCTCCAAAGTCGTGAAACGATGCTGTGAGCAATTCCGAACTCTGCAGCCACACTTGTCACACTGCGGCCTTCCTCCAACTTCCCATTGATTCGACCTCGGGTAAAAGCATCCAGATGTCGTCTAACAGATTGATTATTCGCCGTTTCTCGCCGAGGCAGCAACTCGGTGTGATTTTTACTGCTATACGGCGTGCAATCTCTTTGCCAGAAATACTGATCTTACACCGACAACATGCTTTTTACTACTCAGACACTCCCCCATTACGTCTACCTGCATATCTGCGCATGTGCTACCGTACATCACCTTACTTAATCTCCCGATGGGTCTTTCTGTCCGCTCTGCCTCTTTGTTCAGCTGATATACTAATTTTTCGACTTCGTCCTTAATTTTTGCACACCAGTGTATATAAATACTCATGATATTGTAGAGAATGTGCGTGTAACTATACGTAACTTTTGGTAAAAGCTGTAATAGATGTGTAAGCGATTTATCGCTGTGTCTGAGATGAAACAGAAGCTGCATTTAAGCATGAACTCAGAAGTAGAATTTTAAATTGAACTAAATATAAGTACCTATTAGCCAAAGGCTACGTTAGAGATATTTAAAACGTGGAAGTTGGCTCATTAAGGCTACACCGGCGTGACGGCACAATTGACAAGAATAAAGTAACGTCGTAGACAGGAACACTTATCTGGGTTCTGGTAACGTGGCCTACAGCAAGCAAAACACGCTCTGATTAAAACAACCGCTGATCGTGGCTTTGAAATAGGCATGCAGTCAGTTGGTTTTTACCTGAATTTAGGGATTGAACCTATATCTTAAACCCTCATTTAAATAAATACGAGCTGTCGGCTGTGCTGCATTATTATTAGTCAAGAGGGTTTTAGCAAACTAGTATATTACATTACACACGAGTTAATTTGCATTTTCGCAGGAAAAGGAAAGAGAGAAGTAACAGTATAGTTTTGGAACATAATATAACTGTTTAATTAACATAAACGAACCTTACAATATATTGCGCATATATATTTTGCAGTATTATGAATCAGAATACATTTGTTTTGCCTTTTCTGTTATCATACATTTCATTTTATTTTGATTTGCTTAAATTAGCATGTAATTATTCTGAGTATATAGTATTACGCTGTTATTTATGAAACGACATTTGTGTATGTAACTTTTTTGCGTTTATTTTGACAGAGGTTACGAGAGGAAAGGAAGGGAATTTTCAATATTCACAAACAAGTAAGAAAAAATTCTGTTAATTTATACTTAGTTGCTTTGATAACACTTCATTCTTCTAAAGCAACTGTAAATATTAAACATTTTGAGAAGTAATTTCCAAATTTCTCCCCTTCCCATAACGTTATTGAGCCTTATATCATTTTGAGTTTGTCATTTATTTAATAGAAAATTATTGTTTGTTAATTGTATGTTTTTCAGTTTTACGGTAAAGAAAGTGATTACTGTCAGCAGTTAAAAATCTTAATTGCGAAAGAACTCTTAAGTATACTATAATGAACAAAAATATCAAGAAAGATGTTTGAAAATGAGTAATGACTAAAACTATTTATAAGGTATTTCTCCCGCCTTCTTGGCATGCCTACGTAGTGTGGTGGTCTGCACGCTCAGCGCGTATTGAGATGGTTCGATTCCCGGTGAAGGCGTTGCTAATTTTTCATGTCTCCTGCTTCCAAAAAAATACCTAATGTCTCTACATATTCTCTATATGAGTTAATGATTTCTACTAAAATTTGTGTTCTTTATGGAAATTACACAAAATATTACAAAGAATTAGATAATAGAGGGTCATTGGTCTAAAAAACTATTACAGGTCTTTTCAGATTCTAGTTTATCACTCGAAGGGCATCAAAAATTTCCATATTTGAAATTTTACATCTGTGATTTTATCAAAGAAAACCGATTTTTCATATTTTAATGGAAACATTTACAAGCTTCGCACCTTTACATGATTTGTAAATTAGTTGAAGATCGTAATGATAAGATGATATTGATAACCGAACATTTCTGTAATGCAAAGCAACCGAAAATCATACAAATGGTTCTGTTATCTTTAAAAAATAACGCAATAACACAGCATGTTAGCATTTAAAAAAATCAAGTTTTTAAGTTTTAACTAAAATTTAAAAAGCGCATAAGCTTTTTAGTGAGTATGTTTCATTTTAATTAAAATTCTAGCAGTGAAATATTGCTACATAATTTTATTGTTAAATTAAATTCCTTTTTCGATGTTGGCAACAGTCTTTGAGTTGAAGAATTCTTTAAGATGACGTACATTATATATACTTTTAAGGAAGTCTTTTCTTTTATTATTCTAATAGTGTAGATGTTTAAAAAATAGTGAATTTTTATTACAATAAACGATCAAATAAAGTTGTTCAAGCAGTAAATATTCTGTAAATGTTATGAAGAAGTGTTTATAGATAAATGTTTTTCAATATATATTTCTATAATTTAGAAACTAAAATATAAGTTATTACGTCACTTGAAGGCAATGATTTCTGTTTTGCCCAGATCCATGTTTCTCAACAAGACTGAAACAATTTCAGTAGTATTAAAAAATCACAGCACTCAAAAGAACATTGACATTGCAATGTAATTATCGTGTTAATGACCCATGAATTGCAAACATAATAACTTTTGCCAAAGATATTTTTTATATCTATCTATTATTGCAAAATTTCCCCTAGAACCAAAAAAAAAAAAAAAAAAAAAAAAAAAAAAAAAAAAATGCGAGTAAAGTTGGCAGATGAAAATGAAATGATGAGAAGAAATGGTACTTTCACTTCATCAAGGAAGATTAACTTCGTCAAAGAGAGTATATTTTCTTTAAACAAAGCTTTCTTAAAATTATTTCTTCGGTACAGAGATTTACCCCAAAACAGTCCCCCTATGAACAATCCCCCTATGCTAAACAGTCCCTATGCAATAGCATGTTTCTCGGTATGTTTCCAATATGTCAAAGTGTAGCTTAGGTCAGTTGCGATGTTCCCAAAACTTGCCCGCTATAGCAAATGCAGACGTTTAGGTTTACCATATACCAGGAACAAAAATCAAGACTATAGGCTTCCAAAAGAAAGAATTATGGCCACTTGCCTTCTGTGCCGGAATGGAATGAATAAAAAAAGTCAAAGCATTAATAAAAAACATGCATTTTTGCTTTGATGCCTATATAGTATGGATTGTACGTATGTTTCTGTATTGACACAATTTGTATGGGTGTAGAACATGCGATTTTGTATTTCGTATTACTCTATAACCCACTTGTATATTTCCAAATTAAGTAATAAAATAAAGATTCATTGGCGTAATTATTTGTTGACAATTTTTTCTCCTTCTCCTGAAAATTTTCTTCGAATGCCATGTCCAAAATACTTTATTTAGAGAGTTGAAAATGTACATTATATGCTTTGCTCAAGCTTGTATTTTAGTTAAAAATTTGTCCGTAGGAATGAAATGAAATGATATAGCATTTACAACAAACTATTCAAGATACTGAAAAGCAGACTACATAATTTCGACATCATGTCTGCTATGAAGATGAGGTGAATGGCTGAAATTCTTGTTTCTATTCTGTTCTTGCATAAATTTCATCAAATTATACATTCTTTAGAAATTCCTTTTGCATTCTTGAATGTTCATAAAATTAGTTACTTGAATATTTCAAACTCACTTTCAAATTTCTTTAATGTTGATACATATAATCGGGTATTTACCTTCAATGCTAAAAATTATAAAGGCCCGTTCTTTATTACTATTGTTGCAAAATTTTGTTGAACACTGACTTTTCCTCAAATGGCTCATCTAGATTTAGTGAATTATGCGTTACATATTGGATAATCTGAACTAATACAGTTACATATAATTTCCTTATGCTTGGACCCGAATATCCGGGGTTTGAAAATTAGCTTTTGGGACAACTCCAGGACAGTTTCTCTCGTTTAAAACCCTGAACGTTTTAAATACTGCAAACAACGTTGGACGTTTCTGGAAATCTCGGTTCACCGCAGGAGGCCTACCAGCGGCTGAGCGGAAATGTCGTTGCTGAACACTGGTAATTCGTTCCGAGGTTCGAATCCCGCGAACGAGCTGGCCGCATGTGCGTTTTCTTGGGTTTCCTTATGTGAAACGTGTAAACGAGACACTTTCCCTTAGAAAGTCCTCCACGAAGGCATCCCTCTCCTTAGGCAGATAGTAATTGCATAAACCAAGCCAATAGATCCTTATCTAAGCTGTGTATTGATTTCATAAGTAGTCTTTTAGTGTTGTAAAATAAGATTTAGAATGCTTAAATGCTGATAAGAAGAAAGATAAATTTTATGCTATTTTCTGAACTGTTTCCCCGCCTTTTTCAAAATTCCTCAAAGCAAAAATGAATGACGGATACGTAGAACGCATTCATGTTTATTTCCCAGCAGGTAATGCAGATATTTTACAGATAAACTGAATCAATAAATAATTTTGAAATGTTCACAGTATGAAATCTTATTAGTACAAATTCTAAATTGGTTATGTGAATGAATCTGAAACATAATGTTTCATGTAAAGAATTTTATTAAAAGAATGGATAAATGAGTCGTTTTCTTTGAAAGTGTAAGTTTATTTTTGACAAAAAGTTAGTTAATTATAACAATGAATGCAATCTGCTAAGAGTTTTTTTTATTTATATTCTCTAATTCTTTTTCATATGTGTGGCAACACTGTTAATGACATAAAAGTGTTCGTTGGTTCATTTGAATTTTGGTACTTTGCCCGTTTATTGTAGAGTTTCAAACTTAGCAATGTGTAAATTTTAAAATATAATACTAGTTAGTACCTTTATATCATCATGCCAGGCCCATCATATCCGGTAAATTCAACGATATGATATATTCCTCTAATATGACTATTTTCAATAACTTTTTCATAATGATAAAAATTAAAAATGACACATATTAATATAAAGTTGTAATTAAAGTAATTTAAATGTTATTTTCTGAATAAATATTCAAATAAAGCCTTTTTATATTGATATTCGGAGATATTTAATAAAAATAAAAAAAACAATTGGTTGGATTCAATTGAAATTCCATTTTTAATATTTCATAATTGTATGACTTTTCACATTTTGTTGAGTTTGAAAGTCATGTAAGTCCATTTGAGGTCATCAAAAGTATAAATTTCTTTTAACTAATACTTAAAAAAGGATAAAATTATAAATTTAAATCAATTTCTATTTAAAAACATGAAATAAGCGTATTAACATAAACCAATATTTTTCAAATGTATTCAAATATAAACCCTTCAGTATCTCCATATAATATAAAATGGACTTGCACCACTTTCAAAGAAACGGGAAATATTTGCAATTTTGATTAAATTCGCCTGTATAAAGGTTTTGACGAAAGTGAATAATATATTTTGAAATTTTGATGGAGTTACTGAAATTGCTTAAGAAATTAATTCTTCCTAAAAAGGCATATATTTAAAATTTAAATACATTGCATACATTACTAAATTTAGGCAATTACGGCATTAGATTTTCATAACACTTCCAAAACTTACGCTTTAATATATTTCAATCAAAACACCGTTTTTTTTTTGTAATAAAATATTAACCCATGCATCGTATGCGATACATACAAAATATCTGGTTTCGAATGCAGAGTTTAAAATTTCATTGAATTTTGAAAAACCTTGTTACAGATACCAGAAATATTTGCACATTTAAATAAGTACCGGTATATGTAAAAACATAGCATTAATGGAATAAGGAAATTGCTGAATAAAAACTGAAGAATATTAAATTTATAGTAAAGTATTATGATAAGTGACATTCGTAATATAGAAATACGATTTAACAGGTAAAAATCCTTTGTTTGCTCAATATGATGCAAAATATTAATTCAATTTTCTTCATCATTGTTGAACTGAATACATAAATACCAGTCACAAAAGTAAAGGTTACTATTAGATTCAAATGCTTCTATGAGAGAGAGTTTTATTTAAAACGCTGTAATGCAATAAACGTGACATCACACAAGACAGATTATATTTGAAATAAATAATTGTAAATTTTATGAAAGACCGTTTATTTCAGTTTTAAGAAACTCTATGCTAGAGAATTTTCCAAATTGCAAAGCATATCAAAATAAGTAGTATTAAATTAAATTAGGTTTATAGAAAGAAGCTACTTGGGAGTATGGATGCAGAAATTTTGCGCTAAAGAAACTTATAATTGAATTCAATTTAAAGGCAATTTCGAAAGACATTCGAACGTCACTATCATGCAAGCAAAAAGTAGGAATATAGCTGCTGTATATTTATATATATATGTAAGATAAAGGTTATGGAAAAAAAAAGTTCTATCTTTAGTTTGTAATTTCTCCTTAAATCTCACTTTTAATCTCATTAGTTTCTCCTTTAATCCAATAAATCTTTCTGAACTGTGTCATTCAAAATTATTCCATCCCATGTGATTTTTATGAAGTCTCATGATAGATGAATTTACATTATGGCAAAAGTTCTTTTAACCGATATTAATAATAACATTTGAAAACCAGTTTTGCCATTCAAAGTCCGTCTCTTGTAATTTTTGTATAGGTCTCGTGATACCTGAATTAACATGACGGCAAATGCTCTTTTAACCAGCATTAATAATAACATTTGAGCTCTAATTGGGTCATTCAAAATTATTCCCTCCGCATGCCTTTGTGGTGTAACTGAAAGTATACTCGATAAGTATTCGAGAGATTCAGGGTTCGGCGAGGACAATGAACATTTTACCCGTCTCCAGCTACAAAATAACGTAATTAAACGTAATTACTCTACAAGTGGCACCCGAACTGAAACGTGATGGACGATAATTCGTCCATTTTGGCAACTGTGTACCCATAAACTAAATCGTCCGTGTTAATTACGTGCCGCAGGGTGAGTGGTATGACATGAGAGTTTGCTCTACGCCGGACAGAGGGAAAAATTTCAATGTCATCAAGTGATTTCTGTTGCCATTTGTTTTATCTTCGCAGAAATAAACGCGAAGCTTTGAAATCCTTGATTTTGTTAATCCGAAATCCGTTAAAGTTTTACAAAATATGAAATCGATAATAAAACAAATTCCAAATTTCATATTTGGGCTTCCAGATGCCCATATTCGCAGTAGGATAACGTCATTCAAAATTTGAGGGCTCTAGGTACCGTTGTTTTATCACAATGCGAGTAACATACATACATTTATGCATATTCTTCATTGTTCAATTTCTTCAAATATAATACAGGGTGATAATATTTGATGGCAACAGTTTGAAAAGTGATACAGCTTCTTAAAGATTTCAACGCAAAATGCCGAAACGGAAAAAATAGTTTTTCAGGAATAAAGCCCCTTTGAACTAGTAATGGGACTATATTTTTAATCGAACGTACTTTTTTTTGTTGTTGTTAAAAAAAGGGGGGGTCGATTATATAACATTGATTTCTTTCTCATCTGAGGGGAATCTACCCTGATCACAGTTAATTTGATGTGACATTTGTCAATATTGTGATTTCGATACAAAACTGTTTTTCGTTCTTTTTTTATAAAGTAAATTTCGTTTTATTTTATTTTATTTCTTTTCCAAATTCGTATACGTATATTAATGCATTTAGGTTTTAGCACAAAAAAAATGTAATAATTCATTATTGTAGCATAATTTTTATAGTTAATTAAATAACTATAATAATGATTTGTTATCGTTAAATTATTCTAGATAATTATTAAAATTATATTTAGATTTTTCAGTATTTAGACATGAAGATATACATTTTAGCTCAAAAATAAAAAAAGATATATATAATAATGATTATTCATAGTATAATTATAATAATTCTTTATCATCGTATATTTATTATAATAAATATTGTATTGGAATTTATTTTAATGATAATAAAATAATGAAAATTATACAATAAAATGTATGATTAAATAATTATAATAATAAGTTTTACACAATAAAATGTATGATTAAATAATTATAGTAATAAGTTTTACACAATAAGAGTTATTTATTGTGTTTTATCATAAATTTATGTATGTATGACAAAAATTTAGTTTGGAAAACACTCATATTTTTACCAGTAAATAAATAAGTGCACAAATTAAACACAATGCAATCAAACTGGTTATTAGAAATGATGATCAGCAAATTATTTTCGATTAATAAGAAGTAATTTTCTGCCTCCTTATGTCTGTGTTCTTCGAATGCAGTGAAAATAAACAGATGGAAGAAAAGAAAAGAAACTATGCTTTCAGAACGATTTATGTCCATCCACTCTATTTTGTGAATAAATTAGTCCGAACGACATCATCTGTTCATAAGTTTGGGAAGCACTGCATCATGGATATCCCCGTGACCTTGAAGGTGGTAAATGATTTTATAGTTTACACTGAGGCATGCTCTATAGAACACAAATATAGTGCCACCAGCAAAAGTGCACCTGTGATTGTGATTTTGGTGACGGTATTTGAGATAGGTTTCCTGTTATGAACGCTTATTGGTTACCGAAGCCGCTACATCCTCAATTAAAGAGAAATGATCTCCTCCGTTTGTTGTTGAATTGTTAGGATTTATCATTGACGATTTTTTATAAATTTCCACATATTTTGCGCGTTCTATAAAATTTGGCCAAATGCTCCACTGACATCTTCAAAGTGCTGAAGCAGACTTAAGGTAGCACCCATTTTTCTCATTAAAGGTGTTGGTGTGTTGAGTTATGACAAAGCACACGAGGGCTATCTGTATAAGGGGAGGGATGCCTTCGTGGAGGACTTTCTAAGGGAACTGGCTCGTATACACGTTACACATGGGGAAAACCTCGAAAACGCCCATGCAGCCAGCCCGTTCGCGGGATTCGAACCTCGGACCGAACTACCAGTGTTCAGCGACTTTACCGCTCGGCCGCTGGTGGGCTTTCTCATTATAGAATCTTCGAATATCGTGAATTTTTCGGGTAGTTAAAAAGGAGACGTCGAAGAAGACCAGAAAGCCGACATCATCTGATAATTTGTTAGATTAGTAGAAATTTTGCAAATAAATTTTGAGGCAAAAAGATGTTCAAGTAAGAAGTGCTTTTGGATATCAAAGATAATGTTCATCTTGAATCTCAATTTTCAATCAGTAAGTCAAGCAATCTCTGAAACGATGGTGGCCTCGTTCCTATTTAGTTCAATATTCCAAATTTATCACCAAATCAGGACAGGAATTGTTGATTTTCTACTCCTAGCACACTCATCTGACTAGGACAGAAAAGAGAAGTAGCCAAATTAAAATAAAGAATTAAAAGGAACTATTGGTAATTTAATTTATAATTTTGATTTATATATTTTCATCTTACATAAAAAATATTCAGATTCCTTAACTAGAAATTCTTATATAAATTATTTTATGGTGAACCTCGCACGAAATATAAATTACAGCTAGGCTTTCATTGTGAAATATTTCTGATAAAATTACCTGTTTTAAGGCAAACAATAAAGACATATTTTTCAAACATAAGCAAATAAATTTAGAAAAAGGTAATTATCCGATTTTCCAACATACTTCATAAAACATAAAAATACCTTATTTCGGTTTTTATTATATGATAAAGGTTTTAATAATATTTTGTGTGAACCACTTTTTTCCTCAATGTTTTTTTCTTAATATGCAAATGTGTCTTAGTCTCTCGAAATATTCAGTACATCTGTAAAGTTTTAGGACAAAGGTCTGCATAAAATTATAAACTGAGCAAAAAGAACCTTCTTATTTCTTAGCTTGTAATTTAAAATTTTAGTAACTTGATCCTGACGCGATCGTATAGCTAGTTGATTCCTCTGTAGAAGTCACCTTTTGGTATACTGTTCTGCTCTCTATTTATGATTTTATAAATCTGTTGAGTGCTAGTAAAGTAACTACTTTCGAAGTGAGACTTCATTAAAGGAAAGAAAAAGCAGTCTGCTGTTGTCAAATCTGGTGAATAAGGAGGTTGGAAAATGCGACATTTTTTCTTGCCGGAAACTGCTTTACGAGAAGGAAAGTATGTGACGACGCCTTGCTGATTAGTAGAAACCAGTTATTAGGTAGAGATTTTTAAAGCCTAAGTTGCCGAGTTCTGTTCAGAAATATGTCTAATACGTCTTTATGTTTCTATAAAGTTCTCTGTCTTTCTCTTAGGATAAGGTTTTCTGTGAATTTTCCTTTTCTAATCCAAAATATTTACCAAATTGTTATTTACTCGAGATATCTGGACGCGAATTTTCTGTAGTTGAGGTGAACATTCTTCAATCTAGTAATAGGTACTAGGTTTCACCTCCAGTTACAATTTGTTTAAAAAAGTCATCATTTTTCTCGTTTTACTGCACAATTTTACTGCTATTCTTTGCTTACTTTCAAAATCTATGAAAATACATGCATCCTGGATAAAACCAAATGATTAATTGCATTGAAATTCTGTCCATAAAGAGGTAATGTTTCAGGAAAAGTATGTAAGTTACAATAATAAGTGCTGTCAGTTATCGTTTGACGACTTTAATGGAATTTGTTTAAAAACAATTCATTCTATAGCTCTAAAAACATGCTTTACATATACGTTCTATTTAAAAATATTTTTAAGTTATTATATTTTTAAATTAAAATTTGGAAATAACCCTAGCCGATTAAATATTATATTTAATAAATATTATCTAAAGTAATGATGGGTTCATAAAATATGAACTTTTAAATCCATAAAAAAATTTTCCATTATCCTGTATCTCGAAATATCGAAGTCCAATAAAATGTTACATTCTTGCCATTTTATGCGGAGAAATATCTCGGTTTGAAAAGCTGTTGATATGCATGCTTTCATCGCATGTATGTGAAAAATAAATTTAGAATAAACAAAGAATACGTGTTATAGAAGTGAAATGTTTTCCAATAAATAAATATTTCATTTCAGCTTAAAGGTCAGTGGAACAACATGGAACAGAGGCTTCAAGATCTAGCTTTAAAGGTAAGTAAATATGTTCTATGTTTGTTTTCGGATTTACGATGCTTTCCGAACTTACAAAGTTAAGTAATTACTTTATAAATTGTGTAAAAAATTTTCATCAACTTTAATTCTAATTACATTTAAATTTTTTTTAATCTAGTACCCGATGGACGAAAGCTTGACTAATGTGGTAATTTAATAAAATAAATGAGAGACACACATTTATTAATCGAAACTATTCAGCGGGATATATATGAAAAAATTATGACGCTTCAGAAGATAAGAAAATTTGTAATTTTTATCGATATTTGGAAAATTAATGAATGCTCCAGTTTTGAGAAAAAAGTAATGTAGGATAAACAATTTGGTTAAAAGTTTAAAGAATTTATCATCGTCGAAGGAATCTCTAATTGATAGTTTGTGTCAAAAGTTTATATTGAGAAATTTATCACACATTCTATTAACTAGGTTTAATAAAGTGTGTACTTGTGGGCAATTTACAATTGGAAAGAAAACTTATTGCGTAGGAATAAGAATAACGCTATTAGCGTGATACTTGATTTTCATAATGCAATTCATAACGTGATACAAAAAGTTCTAATTATTGAGCTCCAGATTCGAATTATCGTGGCCGCGAAGTAAAGTCCACTATGTAGTGGGTCATATAAAATGTTTCCGCGCTTTTTTGGTACATTTTTGAACATTTTTGGTACATTTTCTTTATTGAAAATCAGTTTTAATCAAGTGCATATTGACCATTATTATCTACGATCTTTTGCCATTTTTCGGGTAGCTTCGTAATTCTATCCATGTAGAACTTTTATGATTTATCGTCAAAAACTTGGGCGAGTGATTTTCAGCGGCTCTTCGGTCGGCCAGTTTTTTACCATCAAGAGAGTTTTGCAAAGACCGAAGAAAATGGTAGTCAGACGGTGCAAGGTTCGGGTTATATGGTATCAAAACTTCCCAACCAAGTTCCGTCAACTAAGTCATCAAAGATGTGTGCGGTCGCGCATTGTCATGATGGAACAGAATTCCCTTTCTTTTGGCCAATTCTGGTCGAATTTTCTGTATTGCTTCTTTCAAAAGATCTAGTTGTGCACAGTACAGAATTGACGGTTTCGCCATGTTGCAATTTATGTGGCACCCAAACATTGAGCTTCTTTTTGTAACCTGCTCTTTTCAAATGATTCCAAACTGTCACGTGTTTGATGTTTAGTGCCTCTGCTGTTTCCTGACAGCTTGCGTACAGGTCTTGCTCCACCAGTTACAAAATTTCATCGACTTTTTCAGTGACTGGCCGACCAGGGCGAGGTGCATCTTTGATATCGAAATTTCCGGAACAGAAGCGAGCAAACCACTTTTGGGTTCTTCGTTCACTCACAGCATTCTCACTACACACTTCACACATTTTTCGCCATGTTTTTGCAGCCTTTTCACCATTTTTATAGCAAAAAAGCATCACATAACGTATTTCTTCACATATTTCACTCATTTTCAAATCAATATAAATTTTTACACAAGCAACGATTTAGAAAACTACTATTTTCACAAACAATGGAAGCTGAATGTCACATTTTAAGCACATGTTCGTTTGAGACAATCGGGGAAGTGTTGCCGGATATATAGACATCAACACCATCTAGTGGTAAAAAATGCGGAGACTTTTTATATGACCCAATATTCACAACCACAATTACATTTGATTCGAATTAATTTATTTGACTGTAATTTTTACCTGTTTTATTAGCTAGCTACCTATTTTAATTTACCCTCTAATGAAGAGAAGAAATCTTAGAAGTGCTGAATTTTCGAAGAAAAAATGTCTTGAACGGCGATCCTGATCTCCAGCGATCAATTAAGTAAGTCGGGAAGTTGAAACTTCCATCCGTTGCCATTGAGCTTTGGATGAAGGAAAGAGAAAGAAAAAAAATTGCACCAGACAATTTACACCAATTTTTAACAATGAAAGACTAATTGTATGTGGGTGTTATTTCTCTCTCTCTCTTTTTACATCAGATATAAAATTAAATTCATAAATCTGAAAAAAAAACCTGATTTATCTCAATTATTATCCCTATTACTGAGGAAAGTTTCGTAGTAACGGTAACCTCCAAAATCGAGGCATTCCTCTATTTAGAAGTATATGTTTAGTAGTTTATTACGGATCTTTAATTTACATAATCATCACTGGAACAGAATTTTTAAGGTTAAATATATATACTTTGTGTATCTCATTCTCGAAAAATCAAAGTCCTTTTTCCACTAAAAAATGCTCTTGCTGCTTAAGCCATCAGGAGTATTATGTACCTCTAGATCATGTGTTTATACATTGACTTCCCTTTCTTTATATTGGCTGTTTAATATTATCTGGCCGAGTATAGGTCTCTCTTTTTTTGGTATCATAAATTCATGAGCTATAGAAAGACTACAGAGGAATAATCCTCTTATCTTAAACTGTAGGCAGACAAAGTCAGAAGAAGGGTGTAAACAGCCCTTTAATTTTATCACAGAGAAGAAACTACGACCCCACTTAAATTTACACAAGCCAAAACCTCTGGCTTAAACAAGTAACATTGGACTAAAACCTCATGAAATCAGGTTAGTCTAATAGCTCATAGGATAAAGTAACGCGCAGAAAGGCTCTGGTCTGTATGAAAACCGGCTAGACAAGATTAATGGCTAGAAGCACTGAACGCCACATGCTCAAATCGCTATATAGTCACGGTAACAACGTGACTATAACTCTATATATGACGTGACTATAACTATTATATGATAATAACTCTAAAATTATGAACTTTCGAAAACTTGTTTCTACCTAAATTTGAATAAAGGCTCGCTTTCTCATTTACATTCTGGCATGAAAAGGAAAGCGACAGAAAAGTTTCTTTAACTCAAAATTAACTATTAGTCAAAAATAAATAGGTAAATCCTCACAAGAGTGATGTCCTTCGCAGAGTGACTTAGGGTGTGATTTATGATGATCACTTTGATGTTAAAATTCACTACTATTTATTTGCATAAACTAATCGAATATTTCTCGAGGAAGGGGGGAGTAGAATACTGAAATGGCATTCATGGATGCTACTCTTTCTTTTTACTATTTGTTTTCGTCATTTTGTGAAAATAAATAAATAGGAATTTTATAAATATGTTTTAGATTGAATGCTTTTTTTTAACGTACCGAATAAAATTCGTATTTCTTAAAGCAGAAAATGGAGTTTGTGGTCTTCCAGTGTGCATCGTGTCTATTGATTTGAGGGGAATCGTACACCTTAAAACCCATAAGATGTTCGAATAGGTGACTGTTGCAAGCATTGGGATAACTTATTTATTTTAAAAGGAATTACTACCAAATTTTTATAGCTGACTATACAATATAGTTGCTTTCTGAAATAGTCATCAGAAAGTTTGTGTTGGCACAAATATTTTTATAATTTAATCCGCTTTGTGTTAACATTTTTCGTCATGTTTCCAACTTGCGCGCACAGTTTAAAACATTCTGTTTCATAATTTAATTCCATATTTAATTTATAGCTTTTATAATATTTGGAAACTACTGTAAACCTAAAATTCTAAAAATTTCATGTTACATTTTTATTTTATTTTGAGTTTAGTTTATAAAATGTATATTATTAAAAAATTTTTTAATGTTTTCGTCCATAAAATTTTTCAGTATTAAAATATTCATCAGATTGTTGGTTCAGTTAGAAAATAGTACCCATATAAAGAATTCCATCCAATTTCAAGTATGTACCATTAGCCATTTTTAAAATATCATGCGCGCAAGGTGGAAACATGGCGAAATATTTTGCCACAAAGAGGATGAAATTACAAAAACATTTGTGGCAACACAAACTTTCTGGTTACTAGTTTCCAAAGCAGCTATATTATGTAGTCAGCTGTAAAAAGTTGGAAGTAATTGCTTTTAAAATAAATAAAATATTCCAATTCTTGCAACAGTCACATATTCGATATTCGAAGATCATGAGGCGTTTAAGGTGTATGAGTCCCCTTAAGAAAGGATTTGTTCATTTCCTCTTCTTCCTTTTTCTAATTTTTTTCATATGCTAACAGTGCAAATTATGTTTATTTTTAAATACTACAAAAAGTTTTAAGTCTAGAACAATTAAAAAAAAAAACTAAAAGCTGTATTAGTGAATAGCGCTATCTTGCCATTTAGTAGCCTGAGAAATATTTCAGTGCACTAGCGTGTTAAATGTACAACCTACTAGTTGGAGGTATCTCATTACTTAAGCAACTGATTAGTGAATCATTGAATTCTTAGTTTCTTGAACGATTTCTATATGGCTAAAAATAATAAATTAAATAAATATTGTTTATAAAATTATTTTTAACTTTCTCAATATACTATATTTAAATAAACTGAAAGTTATTTTGCTCTATTTAGACATAAAACAAAAAAGAAGATGCTATCTTTTTTATTGTATGGTAAATTCTGAGCAACAGAATTGTGGTAATTCTCCCCCCCCCCCACCAAATAACTGAAAAATTTTAAGTATAACATGGAGGTTAAAGGTAGAACGTGATTTTTTTTAAACTATCAACACATATGATTATACATTTTTAGATTGTCTCGTTCATATGGCAGACACCTTTTCCCTGTTGAATACCAAAAGCAGTTTACTAAGATTAATTTAGTATGTGCTTTGCTCGCTTCATGTTACATCTTAATATTATGAAACAAACATGTAATGTAGTATGTACTGATTAATAAGCAACATGACATACAATGCAAAGCCCAACTGAAACAATGTGAATGCAAACTGTATAATAGTATTATGCATAACGATGCAGGCAGTGTATCGAGTAACGGGTACAATTGGCATGGTGCTGATGACAATTCAATATGCATCCAGTGTATAAAGCTTATCATGTGTATAATTTATCCTGCATAATGCAATATCTGTGTATAACTAATTTCCTGTGAATAATTTAACCCGTATCGTGCTTATCATCCCCTATTGCGTATAATGTTCTTATGTATCATTAATTTCCCCGTATATAATGTAATGCGTACCCGGTGTATAATGATAATATAATGCGTATCCTGTGTCTAATGCGAATCCTGTACAAAATAACCCTTTTAATAATGTACCAATATAGGGTTTATTAGGACAGAATTTTAATGTAATAAGTTGATGTGAAGTCAATGTAATGTTAGGGTAAGGTATTAATTTGATACGTAGTATATAATGCAATGTGTAAATCATGTATCGTAATATATAATGTAATAGGAAATGTAAGATAAAGTTGGACGTGGTGCTGTACTGATTAACAACTCAAATGGTTAAGGGACAGTGCCCACGTCCTCCGTCGCTTATCGCGAAACAAACAAGTTTATAAAACATAACTTTTAACTTCAACTACTTATCAGTTCTTATTTCGTGGAAGTTGATTTCTTTGCTAAATATGTTAACTATAAGCTTGTTTTCCTGCAGTCCCGCGTTATGACAACCTCTTCGTCGACATCATCTGATGAAGATGACAGGCCTGAGAGGGATACTGCCCTGCTCCTCGGCCGCTCTCGTTACAGCGCCCCGTTGGAGCCACCCCGGCACGAAAGCCATGATTCAGAGTTGGACGAAATTCTCATCGACATTCCTACCATTCAAGCCGGATCCATATTGGATGTTACGAATCCTGGCAATCCAGGACTCCGGATACCAGACACTCCTCCGCCCTTGCCACCAAACCACCCGAAGCTCTCCGATTCTGGGATCAGCAGTAATTCGGCACTGGACTCGGAGCTGGACACGAGTGATTGGCATTACCCGGATGTTCCCGTCCTGGAGAAAAGGCACAATAGTGTTCGAGTTAGATTTTCTGACACGACCACTGGCATGAGACAATTCTCCAATGGTATGCTTAATTTACTTCCATGTATTGGCTAAGATATATATCTTTTTTAATAGGCTTTTAATTTCATACGTTATGTATTTGTGCTTTAGACTTAATAGTTAACAGATACAGTTAACTATCGAGAGAGCCCACCAGCGACCGAGCAGTTTAAGTCGCTGAACACTGGTAGTTCGGTCCAAGGTTCGAATCTCGCGAACGGGCTGCCTGCATGGGCGTTTTCGTGGTTTTCCCCAAGTGTAACGTGTATACGAGCCAGTTTCCCTTACAAAGTCCTCAACGCAGGCATCCCTACCCTTAGGCAGATAGCCCTAGTGTGCTTTGCCGTAATCTCAATAAACCAAACCAAACTTAACTATCAAGAACACATATTTGAGATTTTGCTCAAAAATTTTTGGCATCACGTTAATGTAGGATAAAGAAATCAATAATAATGATCTAATTTATACTTGATATTGGTAAATCACTGCATTTTAGAAAAGAAAGAAAGAATTAAACTTTTTAATAATTTCTTTAGTTAAATAATCATGCACCGAAATTAAAGTTATAAGGTATTTCTCCCGCCTTCCTTGGCATGCCTTCGTGTTGTGGTGGTCTGCACGCTGGGCGCGTATTCCAGAGGTCCGCGGTTCGATTCCCGGCGAAGGCGGTTGCTCATTTTTCATCTTTCCTGCTTCGAAATTACCTAATGTCTCTACAAAGTGAGCAGACAAAACTTTTGAGTAATTGGAACAACATCAATTATTATGAAGTTACCATCAATACATTTTGATATTCAGTTTATGTTATTAAAACTTTAGACTGAGATCTGAACATTAACTCTACTGAGATTTGAGGCACATAAAGTTTTCAATGTCGCGCCTCCGGTAGTTTCGGCGCGGTAGGCTACTAGTATAGGTAGTGCTTCACATAATACACAGTATTGAAATACTGTGCAGTCAATTGTTATTTAAAACTCAATATTTAAAAAATTACGTACCTTTATTTAGATAATAAAAGCGCACAACATTTTTTACATTTTAATCTATAGGCTACATTAATACTATAATAGGCTACATTAATATGTATTATAATAGGCTACATATTACATACATTTCGTAAGATGTAGTCGTCGATGACGTCATAACACTGTAAATCTTGAGAAATATCATTTTCTATAGACAAAAATACAATTTTTTTCTGACTTAAACATGACCGTAGACAAAGTTTTATTAGTTTCATCTTAAAAAGAAAGAGAAAGACTTCTCTTTTGCAGCTACTAATATCAGAAGTGCCAAATAAAATTTCGCAGGCCGGTCTTTATGTTAGGATATATATTTTACAAAGAGCACATACAAATGAAGGTAAAAATTTTATTTAGAATTTTTGTCACTTTGAAAGTCAGATCTTGTAATTTGCACAATTTTCTGTGTTCATTTCATCAGCATTAATATCACAACCATGACTGCTTTATGTATTCTCGTTTGCCATTTGCGTTATAGATATTGGCAGTTTGTCGCTATCCAGCTCTTATCCAGTTTTTCAAGATTATATAAAAACAACCAATATTTTCTCTCCAAGTGGAATGGTAAAATCATTGCTTCAATAAACAAAGAGCTGCTTTCCTGGACTTTGAAGATACGTTAGAACGTTAAAATCGAATTATCATTTCTTTCGTCTAATTCTAATGGTCTTAAATATATATATAATTGCCAAATCTCCATTGTTCTAATTCTAAGGGTCTTGAATATGGATACAATTTCTAACTTTTCTGCCAAATCTCCAATGTTCTAATTCTAATGGTCTTAAATATATATATATATATATATGATTTCTAACTTTTCTGCCAAATGTCCAATGTTCTAATTCTAATGGTCTTAAATATAGATATATGATTTCTACTCGTAACTTTTCTGCCAAATCTCCAATGTTCTAATTCTAATGGTCTTGAATATAGATATAATTTGTAACTTTTTTGCCAAATCTCCAATGTTCCAATTCTAATGGTCTTGAATATAGATATAATTTCTAACTTTTCTGCCAAATCCACAGCATTTTTAAGCAATCGTGCAACTTTTCCGTATCTTCTGAAATTCGGACTCTTAAGATTTCATAAATCTCGAGGCTCTTCTATAGCATTTTTAAGTTTACTATCGCTGCAATGAATTAAGAATTTTCCCGCGGTTTTCAACATTAAGTTGAACTGATTCTTAAGATTCCATAAATATCGACCCTCAAACATAGTATTTTTGAGTCTACTACCTTTACAAAATTTAAGCATTTTTTCCGATCATTTGAAAGTCAGACTGAGTCTTATGATTCCATATTAGGGTACTCAATAATCGTCTTTCTACGCGCCACACATAACTAAACAATGTGGCATTTTAGTATTTTACCTCTCTTTCTGCATCTAAATATCATTTTCCTCTTAAGAACAACTCGATTACTGTCCTTGGAAAATTAGCACGCGGGACGTTGTCGACATTGCCTATACTTGAAACCGCTAATGGTGTCCGAAAAAAGTGGTTGTAAAATTCCCTTAAATCTTAGACCTAAGTGTGTATTTCGAGCTATAGTGTTTCTCAACATAAGACAGACAATTTTATGGAAACAGTATCAGCATTATTGATGTAAAGATCCTGGATACATAAAATATAATTTTTTATAATTCCAGAAAAATTTCTGTTCGAACAAAAAGTCCAGTTAGTAAAATATTCATTGCGCTTTACAATGTATACCTTTACAGTCATAGCTCGCATAAACATTTGTAAGTAATATCTTTATATACCAATCTAAATTTAATACCAAGTAACGTTTTATCCATACGGAACCATTAAATAGTAAAGCGAACAGCTTCTGTTTTGAAGTATCTACTTAAATCTGTTTGAGAGATTTATCTCTATAACAGCTTCTCGAATTTTTCACTTACTAGAGACACTTTCGTTTGCATTTAAATACGTAAACTATATTTCACTAACTGCATATTTTGCTTTACGAGAAAAATATAAGAACAGAGATTTTCTATCTTAAGAATTCTCTCCCTTATAGTCTTAAAATGCTTTTATAAAAATTAGGTACATATTTTGAGATACTTTTGAGTTGAAACTACGAATCTGAGACTTAATGTTTAAGAAGAGAAAGGCCTGCGTCGTTTTTTTTTTTTTAAAAAAACACCATGCATATTTACACTGATATTTTCAATTGAACTATATTACTCAACAATATTTATATTTTTATTGCTCAATTCCATTATATTACTGAGAAATGCATCTTCTCTAATTCCTAATAACATATCTTTTTCCACCATGAGAAAAACTTATTTGCATATTCTAGTCTTAACAGAAATTATTACTAGGCAAGTACATATAACATCAGGGTTTCGCAATATACGTAATTATATACGATAGAGTACAATTATTTCATTGTAACGTTAATAACACTTTTAGTTATTTGTCCAAAATATCCATACGTGCACCACCATTATCCCTGCCCAGCGTGGTACACCTGAATGTTCTCCTGCTCCCGTTTAGCAGCTGCGATGTCACATGCTGGAAAGCTTAAGGCACACTTGGCCGCAGTGTTGTCTAAAATATCATTGTCTAAGATAATTTGGGGGCCCAACTCCTATCCACAGGCCAGGGTTCAGTTCTTTCAGGCATTCACGAGCAGCAAGTGCGAACTGCGAGTAAGGTCCATTTGATGTTAGTAAACAACCGTGCCCCTGATACCCAAATTCTGCAGCTGTGGAAGATGTCAGTCATTCAATATCTCCAGATAAGTAACCTGAGTAACGGAGCACTCAAAGAAGTACGGAGCAATGATGTATTCTTTAACCATGCCCGCCCAAAGCAAGACTTGGGGAGGACTGTTCCCAGTTCCTTGGTAAAAATGTGGGTTTTATTTGCGCATATGAAGGTGTCCTTATCCCACAAACTCTGATAAATAGAACATCCATTACAGAAATGAATGCACTTTCGAGAGGAAATGGTAGGGAAGGCCTCCAGCAAGATACTGCATACTTCCTGCCGGTAGTTTAAGACGTCTTCTGTTAGTTCATTGAAGGTCATTGGCCAGCTTAGCCTTGCAAACCTAAATCCATTTTCATGTGGCATTGGGTTGTGCTCCTTATAATTTCCATGTCGATTTGAAGAGTAAATGCATCACTGATGCATTAACTTCAGCACATGTCTACATTTGGATTGACGGACGACCAGGAAGTCGACAAGCGGGGACATCCAAAACACTTTTGAGGTGAAAAGCTTTCTTCTTCCACGTGATCAAAGTGTGAAGAATTTATACATGTTTACCGAACTGTTTACGAAACCTATGTATAATCTGTGTCATGTTTTCGTTATTGTGCTTCCGTTCATGGACCCCCCACACTTAGCGCTTCTCCAGAGTGAACTCGCTAGTATCTGCCATTGTTCTTCGCCAACCACAGAAAAGCGAGACAATGAACTGGTCAACGCGCAGATTTCATTCTCCTCCCCGGGTTGTCACGTGGCAATCACGTTGAATTTCACTTTAGCACTATTGCCATATCAATGCTCAGAATGGGAGGTTCAAATCTTAAATATCTTATCATCTTACAAAGTTCCTCGCGTTTAGTTCAGGTGTAAAAGGACCTTCTGGCCACACTTTAGAATAAAACGTAATGCAAAAAATAATGCAATTTTAGATTAAATTTCGAAATTATTTTGCATTTAAATTATACTTTTAAAAGATTTTAATCTTTCTCCACATGTTCAGTTTTTAGTATTCACGCAGATTACCATAATGATTAGATAAGAAGGAAAATTACAATTTTCAATTTTCTTCTTTTTTCTTTTACTGTTCACGTACCTTAAGTGCTAACATAAACGAGCCATTTGGGCTACGAAAGCAATTAAGATTTTTCAAGTCTGAATTCTTTAAGTTTTTGTTTAAAATTTCTAACAGTATGTGTTGTTTAGTTACTAATCCTACTAATTAGTTTTTACAAGCAATTCTGTTTAAAACTGCTGAATGTATAAAATCAGCTTGCTTTTAGTATAAAATTAAATAACTAACTTAATTATTCTGTTCTTTTCAGATGTTCCTAGAGGCGCAGTGGTCTTGCCACCAGGGCAAAGCAAGATAAAGTGCGCTGACATTCTAGGCGTTCAAAACATACCACCACCTCCTCTACTCAACAGACAGGAATCTGCCAAAATACCTCAACAGAAATCAAACAAAAAGAGATCTTTTTCCACGACAAGAGAAAGAAGCAAAGACAGGAACAAATCCTTACTTCCTAGGTCTCTCCAGAATAATGAAAAAACGAAGAACAGTGGAAGTTTAGGAAACTTGACAGCTTTGTCCCCATCCAACTTAGCAGCAACAACAAGTTATGGAGCATATAACAGCAACAACAAGTTATGGAGTAAGAAAAATCAGAAATTTCCTCCAAGACCATCTTCCCAGATAGGTAGTAGTCTGGATGGCATGATTCATCGAGAAATAGCCAAGGCCATCAGAGATCGCCATGCTCTCTTTGATCCTTAAAGAAACTTTTATGTTGAAGTAATACATATATACTAAAAAGGACTAGCAGTGAAATTCACAAAAGAAATCTTTGTGAAACAATGAAACGAGCCCAAAAACAACTGAATGGGTCATCTTTGTTGAACTGAGTGGTATAAAGAAAAGACATTCTCAAGAGTTCAGAATTAATTTCTTACATTGTGATTCACATTGGAAATAGGATTATCGATATTTCTTCCTAAGTGACTCATTTCATAATGTTGTTTCAATTAATGAAGGAATGTATTGGTGAATTCCTCAGAATTTGTTGCCAATCTGTGTTTCTGATTCGCGATTAAGGTGATAATTTATACTGAATCCAACTTGAATTGGAGATAAGGTGAAAATGCTTGCTTTTGCATAAGTTCCTTTCCGATAAATCATTTTTTGTGACATCGATATTCACAGCATATTCTCAAGTGCTTTGTATTTATAAATAGAAAGGAAGAAAAGTATTCATTATGTAAGATATTTTTGAATATGCTTTATACTCCGCTTCAGTATCATCCAGGCCTTTTTCAGGAAACTTCTTTATAATCATATTTTTGGAGTATGGAATTATGTTTTTATAGATGGATCGATGAAAACTACTTCAAAAATTACATCAGGGAATTTGTTTTACTTTAGGTGGGTAAAATAACACATTTTTATATATTGTAATCTGGTGCCGGTCAAGATGCAACCGGTGCGAAAATTAGCTTATGCATCCATATGTATGTGTTGTTTTGTCTGGACTGAATTAGGTATTAAGTTCTAAAACGTTGTTCTGAATAATTTCGATATTTCTTTTAAATTTAAAATAGTTTATAATTTTCGAATGTAGTTGCAATATTATTATTATTGTTTTTGTTCAGCTATCAAAACCTGTTCTAGTTTGAAAAAAAAATCCCCTATCAAAGAGCAATAAACTATAATATTTAAAAACTTATTTTTATAATAAGTTTTTAAATATTTTATTTCTTAGTATTAAATAAAATGTCTAAGCTATAAGCCTGCTTAAATTTGGAACTTCTAAACTAATTTAAAATAAAATAAAAAAAATTGGAAACTAAATCTTTGAAGCGCCAAAGCATGAAAACATTTTCAAATTAAAGAAATAAAAGTAAAATCTTCGATACAATCGTGGATAAATGATATAGCATTTTTAAAAGTACGTTGCTATTATGTTTATACATATAAATATTAAAAATAATACACTAATATCTTATAATTTTTAAAGGTATTCTGAATTTCATATTTTTGGCTATACCATATATTTTTGGCCAAAACATATACTGCAGTGCAGTAAATTTAGAAAAATAGCGAAATTACTATAATAACTGAATAAGTTTGATATTTTCAAACACAATGGAACTTGTATTCAAATAAATCTAAGCTTTTTACATAAAATTTACAATCATTCTAAACTTCAGGAAAATAAGGAACGCAAAAATATATTTATTTCATACTTTTATAAAATATTAAGCGAAATGTTGTGCAGTTTGTATCTATATTCTCATAATGTGCAATCTTTCGCAGTTGCAAGAACTTTGCTTGGATCATTTACAATTAGCTATTGCTTTTTTACGACAATGATAATTATACGTTAAAAAAAGAAGCTATTTATAGGATTATTACAAAATATTTTGTTAAGAGGATTAATTTAAGAACTTCAAAAGGCTCTTTTATGTTCACCAAAGTCTCTTCTTTTTTAAATATCTTTTCACAGCTCAATTTTACCTTCCTTTGAGAATTATTTTAATAGATGAGAGACTTTTGATAATTTTTAACGAGAAATGTTTTTTTGTATCACTGTGTATGTTCATGGTTTCTTTTCCTTCTCTTGTTACATCCTCATTTTGAGGATAAAACAGAGAATTTGGGATTTGTTCTGTTAACTTTATGATCATAACCGCAACTGTGGATCAAATGCCAAGAAGAAAAGGCTATCTTGGATTGGAAGATATTTCGAACTTTATTTTTCAGGTTGTGGATATACGTGAAATTAAAAGTTCTATTTGTATTTTGAGAAATAAATTTTATAAATATTTGTATTTATTTATTACATTTATTTAAATTCATTTTTATATTATGATCTACGTAAAACAAATTCATAATTTTGCAAGATATTTGTTTTTAAAATGAACATTTGTATGCAAGTCTTTTTTTACGTATATTCTAGTAAACCTTATCGTAAGTTGAAAATATTTCCAGTTAGAAAATATATCTCATACGCCTTTTAAACTGAAAATCATTGTTTTGCTAACATTAAAAGTTATTAGAGTATTTAAAATACATTAACTTAAAATACTAAGCCTTTCGTTAAATTATTGAGAAAATAATTTAACGCTTTTTGTACACCAGATTATTGAATATCACATTTGATTTATTAAATAATAACATTATACCAGTTTTCCGTGGGGGAGGAAACGAAAATTATTTTCAAAATACACAGAAAATTTTGTTTCCCTAGTTTAACAGAGAATTTTCTTCGATGTCTTGTTCAAATAGCAAAATCTTGGTACGTTATCAGAACATCCTGAAAAGATTCTCATATATCCCGATGACTTCTAATTTAACATTCTTGTATTTTATAATATGCAAACATGTTCTGAAGGTTTTAGTTATCAGATATATTGAATGCTTCATCACTTAAAATCTTGAGAATATTCATACAGTATTTTCAGGAATATGTGTTTGAGAGATATAGAGGGATGTTCGGAGAATCTGGTACGAAAGAATTACAAATACTCACAACATTAAGTACATTATCCGCATACACCAAGGGATTTAGTGTAGATATTCTGGTTATGTACTGAGATATTATATGCATAGCCGATTTGGTACTTTAGTATTGTTGCGTGCGTATGGGTTCGCAATGCACAAGTCTGATAAAAAGTTAATAAAATTTATTCTTATCACAAGAAATAAAAACAAAATGCTACAATTGTTCCTCAGATATATTCGTACAATATCGAACAGTATTTATGTTTTAAACTACTCAAACGTTAAATAGAACGCAATCCAAAATGCAGAGAAAGCTAATCCGATCTCACCGCGCTAAACAACTGAACTGGGATGTTTTGCTCCGGCTTTTATAAGCTTTTTAAGCATGCACGAGAACATTCTGGTATTTTCTCGAGGTTTTTGGAAAGCAAAAGAATACAATTACGAGATATCTATTTATTAAATGTTTTAATACGCGCGCTCCTGTATTTTTAATTTTTCGGCGTAGCTTTCTCTTAAAACTCATCACACGCTGCATTTCACGGAGAAATAAAACAATTTTAATTATAATTCTACTAAAAATAGCAAATTAAATATAAAATCCGTAACAGTATTATTGCAACCATCTCGGTAAAGTCGCCAAACTGTGTAAACCATGCACAACAATTCTTCAGCTAACCATATTGATAACTGTAAGTCTGAATAAGCAACATCATCATTTTCGTACATGTTATTTTAATTGTATTAGAAGCTCTAAATGCAAACTGTGATATTTTTTTATCTCTAGCTGAATTTTGAAATATGGAAATTGCCTGCAAACAAAAAAAGTTCTGTAAAATTTCTGCGGGAATGTAATATTTTATCACAAAGGCGAGAATGTTCAGATTGGTGATGTTGTACTTTGGAAAACAACCTTTTTGCAAATGTGAAAAAATGTAACGAACACGTCGGCATTCGAAGCGGCAATAGGTTCAAGAATAATCGACTAGCATTTACTACAGGTGTCAAATTATGCTGCTGGAGTAAAGAATTAACGAGTGTTAAATTTTGCTTGGAAGAGTTAGAAATGGCCAGTAAGACTGTGGTAGACTGGAATAATTACATACAGGAGATATGCAGAACAAAGAAGAAACAGAAAATTTGTACCTTTTCCGGTATAAATATCGAACTAAAAATATGCACCTAATAACGTGCATGATATGAAATAAAAACTTTCTCCGGTTTGAAATTACCATTCTTTTTCTTCAGAAAATCACCAAATTGCACCAAGGCGGTTGCGATAATATCCAAGTACTGCCTGATTTTTTTCATGTTTCGAGGCTCAAAAAATTTTAAATGTCTACAAGTGGCCTCCGAACTAAAATATGGTAGGCGATAATTCATCATTTGAATTTAAGAACAGGGAAAATCATTCGGTGATAGAAATGACAAAGGAATTATAGTTTATAGGAAGGCTTATAAACTCTAATTTACTAAAACGTGTTTGGGCTGAAACAACTACTGCTCATCTCTTGAAAAGTAAAACTACAGAATATTACACGCAAGATTTACTACCGTATGAATTATGAAACGGTAGGAATAAGTTACTTACGAGTATATTGCGCTGTAAAGTATATTTTTATGGGAACAAACAAAAACGGTGGAAATTTTATGATAAAGCAGAAAAAAGAATATTCGTAGGATACGATTTACAAACGAAAACCTATTGGATTTATGCTAGTGGAAGGAAAATTACAGTAAGCTAAACAATTATTGTTTCGAAAACCATACCGTCACTTAATAGACATGTGCGAAATAGTACTAAAGATTCAGAATTAATTCATTTTGATATATCACAAGATGGTGAAGAAGGAAACATTGGTCAGCGATTTTATGACAGAAGATACAAAATGCAACTCAAGAACTGATTAACTGTAAAGAAGGAAATGTGGAAAGAGTGGTTTCTACCAGAATTACTGTATGTGTTCTACTGGATAGATTTTTCTACAATGCAGAAAACGAAGGATCGGCATTATCTCAAAATAAAAGAGCAGAAAGTTTTGAAGAAATGTTAAATTTGCCAAAATCAGAGCAAGAAACTTGGGTCAAGGCGGCGGAAAAAGAAATAAACTCCTATAAGGTAAATGATATTAATCTGACAACTTTATTTTTCACGAACTCGAAGCAATGGGATTATGAGATAGTTTCTCGAGGTCACGTGTTATTTTGATTATGTAATAGTGCACTTTAAAGTTTCATCCTGATCATAGCCGGTTCGCCATACCGAGGCTTTGAGCGATGCCGAATTTGCGCAATTATCTGAATTTGTTTTAGTGAAAACAGAATGCTATGTGCATGGACGTAGAAAAAATTTCACAAGGATTTCTCATAAAACTAAGCGTTTTATTTTTCGATGTATCAAGTAATTTTTAATTTAATAATTAAAATTTGTATTTCATAATGACAAAATGGGTTTTCTTATGAAACGTCAATATTGTTTTACGACTTACAGTAAATAAAAGGTTACCAAAATCGCCAACTTGACCCGATAAGTATTGTTTACCAATTAATTCCCAAATACTATGACATCGTCTGCTATCACTGCCCAAGCATTTCTCTTTTCCTTTCTGTATATTCTCTCCGTATTTCTGTGTATCTTGATGGTTTGAGTAGAATTACTTCCATCGTTCCGCAATACACGGACTAAAGTTTTTCTAGACATGACCCTATTAATCCGTTGCCGGATAATAGGAAGCTGACAGTAGGTTTAATCTAAAAGATAAAATTAAGGAGCTTACATCATATTGAACGGCAATATTTTAAGCAATCTGCCAGGTAGTATAGATAGATGAGGAAATTAATTTTATTATCATTATTATTATTATTATTTGAAATGCGACATTTGCCAGATCTCGAGAATAATAAATGTTCTAATAGCGTAACGTAACGGCACTCAAAGAGTGAAAAGACTACGCTCTAAACGTTTTGAATGTCGAGAATTTGAAGTACATTTCTAGTGTTCCAAATAGCCAACTTTTCATAAGGTTGACTTTGGACAGGAGTGAATTTCGGAATGTTTGTAAAACATCTTACACACCCCTCCCAGATAAATAACTATTCTTTTTAGAATAAATATTGTAATTTGTTTAAATATAGACACTAAGAGAATAGTCCTTTCTGTGAATCGCCTCCATATATGCTCCAAATGCACCAATTTACCCTTTTGGTTCAATTAGTCAGAGCAATCGACTCGCATTTCGCTAATAGTTCTTTCTGTATAAGAGGTAATTTGCTTTAGCTCTATCCACGTAACCGCCATCGTTGTCACGAAATGGACAATGGAATACTCTCTGCATCCTAATGAGCAATGGCTGTAGCTGGAGACAATGTTTCCAAGTGGTATTTTCAGTCATTAAACGCTCTTTCTCTAAGCTGTGAGGCCAGGCAGTGTTCGTAAGGTAACTGTTAATTCTGCAATATAAAAAAGTTTTTATTGAAGATAATGAAAAATTTTATTAAGTCAAAAATGATGTATTGCATTCTTGCAAAATCTGTTCTGGAAGCTTTCAGTACACGGTGTAGTAATACAGAGAGAGTTTACAGAATTTTAGAACGATTTCGGTGCCTTTTAGTTGAGGTTTAAAATGCAAAGAGTATTATTTAAATGTTGATCTCATAGTTGTTTTACTGGACTTTAAGTCTACATCATGATTTCCATGATCGAAGGGCTTTTCGCAAAATTTCCAGGAATATTTATGTCTATTCTTCTTCCACTACTTTAAAGAGTCTATCAATCGTGCTCTTAGAAAGGTTTTTTTTTTTTTTTTTCAAGAAATTAAAAACACAATAGTCTGTAGATGAAACGCCAGAAAACTTCACAGGAATACTTTGAAAAAAGATAAATGCAATAAATGTATCAGTATTCATTTTTTCAAAGAATACAACGGCAGGTTCCGAAGAAAGACGTATTGCTTCGTTTTGATGAAGTTTCACTCTTTCGATGTCACTAGGGGTAAAGAAATACAATTTCTTCTGTAAATGTCAGACGTAAATCTTTCTCTTGATAATATGTTGAGTTGATTTTAATTTTTTTTTCTTTGTACTCTTCTTATTTTTAACTTTCCACTGTAAGAGAATCCTGCGACAGTTCTAAACCCCTTATTAAAACTTTCTTTGTATTGTTACGGATGTCCAGCTGCGGTAAGATAGCTTCCCCGCAAAACGGCTTTAGGGTTGCCAGAAAATGGTAGGGAAAGGAGGGGTTGCAGGATTTGGTGAGAAATCGCCCGTTTGGTGGCAAAATCGGCGATATGCCATAGAAGGAGCGAGAACATTCTACAACGAATTC